TAAACTCGGCCAGAAGTGGGAAACAATGTGAAAGAAGACTCGTCAGACCATATTACTCACTTCCACTGCTCTATAGTCCAGGCTTTATGATTTAAACACTACCTTTTCCTGTTACGGGCATTAGCATCACTGATGAGTGGCTTCTCAATTGCAGCACGGCCAGCAATTCCCTGTTTATAAAGCTCTCTTCTAACTGTTTTGGTACTCACATGGTTCGGTAACACAACATTCATTTCAACAGCAACTTTTGCAGCTGTGGTCTTCTTATTTTTCGTCACAATTGCCCTTAATGATCGTCTGTCACGATCACTCAGGACACACTTTCGTCCGCGCTGTGATTTAGCAGATGATGTTTTTCCGCTTTTCAAATATGAGGAATAAATCTTCGATACAGTACCTCTTGAAACACTAAACACCTTGGCTACCTTGCTTACAGAAGCACCTGCCATACGTGCTCCAACAATTTGCCCACGTTCGAAGTCTGTTAACTCTGACATAATGCAGTGACAACCTCACATAACAGTACTCCGACAACAACTGAACTGTTTAGCACATTTACGAAGTTGTATAGGTGGCGTCAGTAGTCAAAAATGCCAGCGCCACCTACATATTTCATTAAAATCAATCTTTCTTTTCAAACATGCATTTCACAAGGTGTTTCCATATTTTTGTCCATCCACTGTATGTCTATTTATAGAATTAAAGAGAATGTATTATCACATAAAAAACGAAGCAACTTAAACAACTTACATTGAAAGAAATGTTTAATAAAGTAAACAAATAAATAAAAATTCACAAAATGCAAAATTTACAAAAAAAAAAAAAAAAAAAATTTTTTTGTAAATTTTGATACCATTTAGATCATAATTGTTCTTTATTTCATAAATTATGGTTTCATATTTTTAATTTTATAATTTCTGCATGCCATCTTACCAGATTTAAACTGATGATCTATAATCCGGAATCGCCAAAGTCCCGACGAATCCGGATTAACGACTTTTGACTGTAATAAGCCATTTTAATTGTATTCGTTTGGCACCTAATAATAAATACAATTTATTTTTCCACTCATATTAATATTTAAATAATTTAACTTAAATCAAAATTCTGAACATTTTCTAAATTTTCATTGCATAACAGATTTCCCTTAACATATATTCCAAGCAAAGTAATTTAAGTAAAAAAGAGGCACATTTCTGAAATCAGAAGACGGGAAATTACTTCATTCAGTCATCCTTTAACAGTAAAAGCTTAACTAACCCGCATACTCGGAAATTGCCGAATATTCCGGATAGTAACTGGAAAAAGAAGAGTGGGGAGTAGCCATTCTTTAGATTTAAATTTAGGCTAAATAAACGATTTTGACATTTCGATATGTGCATCGTATAAAAATACACCAACGGAACTGAGAAATATTCTGCTTAGAAAGCACAGTAAAACTCTTTTAAATGTTCATAAACAAATATCAGACTGAACATCAAAATTAATTATCAAGGCAAAATACCGCAAGCGCAATACGTGCGGCGTAATTCTTCCATATGTGATATTACGCAATCGGAATTAACACCTGCCGGTATTCGGAGAATAAAGAACTAAATAAAGGAAAAGAAAGAGACTTACTAATCTGGGGTGTTTCTGATCCTAATTTTCAATAGACTGCATTTAATTTCCGGAATAGAATCAATCTTCGCTTGGGTTGGGTAGACCGCAAAAACTTTTAGTCCTATTCAATCCAGATTGGACAGTGACAAAAAAAAGTCTGCTGCTTCAATATTAGATATTTTGCGGAAAAACTCCCAACCTCCGTACTGTATAATGTATTGGAAAAAAAAAAAAATATATTTTGACTACTCGATTACTTTCCTTTTATTTAAGCCATTCCGAATATTATTCCTTAGAAAGCTAATCTGTGTAAAAACACACCCATTTTTGGAAGTTTATCTATATTTCAGCAGTTACTGCAACTATATTATTATAAATATTCATACATATGCTCATAATATAAGCATAACAATCATAATAAACACGAATATGAACTGACCACGCAGAACGAGAATGCAAATTATTAAAATCTTGATAGAAATTCAAACATGTGTAGTATTTGGGTGGGAGGAAAAGAATACCGAATGTACCGGAATTTCTACCGTTTTCGCAATTCTTTGACCAATAGAACGACGTGCACCTGTCTGTACTCTCGCGTGCACCATAGGTTACGTTAATGCAGAGGAAGGGGGGAAAGCAATTTCCGGGAGTATGATTCACCATCTGACGTTGCATATAAGGAAGAAAAGTTGTTTATTTAGTTTAGGCTTTGGTACGGGGAAAAAATGCACGTTCATTAAAAACAAAGGATTAAAAAAAAGCACTAAAAGCAAAAAATAAGCACTAAAAACAAAAAAATAAGGGCTTTAAAGAAAAAGTAAGCACCTATAAGGGCCTTTATATTTTATTTTCAAATATAAGGACTTATAAGCACTTGTAAGGACCGCTACGAACCCTGATTGAAAATGCAATACCAAGAAGGAGTGGTCAGAAATTTATGTCAATTTTAGAGCAGATGCAAATCACTGAGTTATGCGAATGATTTGAAATCCGCAGCTCTCCGATGCACACGAAGTAAGATGTAAGGGAAGGAACTAGCAGAATGGGCAATATTCGTGTCGTTATTTCTGCCAGACAAATTATCGAAGAAAGTTGGTTTTTGTCCCGGAGGATACGTGTAATAGGAGAGAATGCCAGGCAGCTGTCAACGAAGGCACTTCCAGCAGACAGACGATATTTTACGAGGGGTATGGTGATCAGACTGAGAAGGGGGGGTTGGTCCTTATGTCAAATTCGCAGCTGATACCCATATGGATGGGAGCAAGGTGCATCGGCTATGGAGAATATGGTTGGAACAAGGAAATGCGGCAAGAAGGAGGGGTGCAGGCGCAGCCCAACTGATGTCAGCATGCGTGGGTCGACGCATCCGCCGACAAGCTGCTGTGGCAAGTCCTGCAAGTAACTTGTACCATGATTCTGCAACATGTGCAAGATACCCTGGATATTCCTCGTGTCGACCAGAACCATTTCCAGTCGATTGTTTGAATGTGGCCTGCACTCACGGTGTCCGTTAAGACTGCCATTGACCCCACAGCATAGATGCCAACGTTTAGAATGGTGCCAAACTGGAGCGATGTGGATGAAAGAATGGAGAAAAATCGTGTTTTCAGATGAGGCCCGCTTCTGTTTATCCAGTGACAGTAGTCACCGCATACGTATGTGGCATCGACGTGGAGACAGATCTAATCTGGCAGTAACTGTGGAACACTCCACCACGTGGCATAATGGTTTGGGTCGCTACTGCCTACGATTCCAGGTCACCTCTAGTTCATATTCAGGACACTATGATGGCCCAAAGATACTTGGATAATGTATTGTGGCCGGTGGCAATCCCCTACCTTCAGGGGTTGCCTAATGCAATTTTTCAGCAGGATAACGCCCGACTACACAGTGCTCGCATCTGCCAACATGCTCTGCAAGGTATACAGATGCTTCCCTGGCCACCGTACTCTCCTGACCTGTCACCAATTGAACATGTGTGGGATGTGATTGGACGCCGTTTGCAGACTCTGCCCCTGCCTTGTTCAGAAGACGAACTGTGGCAAATGGTTGAAAGGAAATGGAGAGCCATCCCTCAGGCACACACCATCTACACTCTTATTGACTCTATGCCTAGACGTGTTTCTTCGTGCATCGCTGTCTGCAGTGATCCTACATCCTACTGAGCCGACACCATTCTCGCTCTGTATTCTGATTATCATTTAAAATAAAGATCACTTATTGCTGCTGGCTGTCTCTGTCTTTTTTCCAAATTTCATCACTTTCTGACCACTCCTTCTTGGTGTTGAATTTTCAATGTTGAGCAGTGTACGTTCGAATGTCAAAACATGCTCATCGCTTCCCTACAGCCTAAAACAAGTGCACCTCCCCTCACTATCCTCCCACCCTCCCTGCTGAGAATAACTGGCCTAGTACATATTCTGAGATTTCTTTTAGAAAGTGTATATATGTGTATATAGTAATATGTCCAAAAAATTAAAAGAATATATTAAAAGTACATAAATACACGTATTAAAATCAAGAAAATACATCCTTCTCATGGCAGTTTTGGAAATTTAAGCTCTTCTGGTATCCATGCCGGTCAGAGGGTTTAACTAAATGAATAGTAATAAAGCAATGCTGTGTCCTTCTATTGAGAAATTCAATTTATCTTCCCATTCTCTTACTTTTCTCTGTACAACTAACACCTGGCCTGTAACTTTTCTTTATCATCTGCTGTAATACTATGAATATGTGAATGTACATTTGTAATTATGGAATAATGGTTAAATACATATGTTTAGGTAAATAATGTTATGCAATAAATAAAATTAACTGGCCAGATTGAGTCTTCCTTGTCATCAACATCAATGTCAGATATAAAATTTCAACATATATATATATGTTGAAATTCTATATATATATATGCGTGTGTGTAATCTGTATGTTACAACAAAAATCCATCACTACTATTAGATTTCAAGCATCCATTTAAATTGTTAGAAATTTCATAATCAATATAATGTTTAGAAACCAAACTTAATTTTCTATAAAGTAATATTTATTGCAGAATTTATAAAACTTCAATGAGCAAACCAACTCCATATTTCAAAAGATTAAAAAAAAAAGAGAAATTAGAAAAATAGATTACATTAATTAAAACAAATTTAAAATTATATGAGGTAATGAAACGTTTTAGAGATTTCCTTTAAAAGCAGCCACCATAAGTTTCTAGAGACATTTGAATACTAGAAATTGAGAGAATTAAGTTTGCCAATTTTTGGTGACGAAGTGCAGTGGTGCTTTAACAAAGAAGTATCAAATTTTTATATACATTAATCATAGTAAACATTTAAATGCATATAAAATATTCATTTTCAAAATTAAATGTATAAAAAATTCAATTTCAATGTACTTACCACTTACTAGAATCAAAAACACTGGAGCTAAGTATAGGAACGACATAATCCAAAACACACGCAATTATGCAGAATATGGACAATGTTGTTAAAACTGAAGGATCAAAATACCACAACATTCTAAAAATAAAATATATTAAAAATATTAAGAAACATTTTATAACTTAAAACAGATAAATATAAAATAAAAGATAATTTATAATAAAAATCTATTTAAATTCTCATACCTTATCATGACATATTCAAATGTAAATGTATTATAGAAAATGCCATAAAAATTATTTAATAAATATTTTATGTACAGTTTCGAAGTACAAATGTTTTAGCTAAGCACAGTTCTATAAAAGAAAGTCTGAGAAGATCTGGCATGCATTTCAAAACCTGGAAATCTGCCTAGGTCAAAAGTTCCTTCAAATTCTTTTACAAAAATGTTGGCTCGCTTTACATACTTCTGTGCATAGAATAAAGGATGAAGAAATGTATGAACTTTTTCCAGAAATATTTAAAAACAGTTTCTTTACTAGAAGAGAAATAATTCTACTTCACTAACACTTATCCTCCTGCCTCCCCTCAAAAAAGATTAATGTGAACTCTTTTCAAATTAGATGCAATTGCAATACTGAATTCCATCATACAAAATATTTACAATCAAATAACTATAAATTACAAAAATGAATATTTTTTTATAAATTTGCTTTTATTTTTTCTTTTATACATTTCCTCATCGATAATGAAAACTTTAACTTATTAAATACATTGGTTTTGGCTAACATTTTCAAACTTAATTACTTTTTACATATTAAAAATTGTTTTGCATGGAAAGTAATTCACAGGATATAGAAAAGTATATAGAAAGTAAATATTACAAAGTAATATAATTAATAAAGTAATATTACAAAAATTACATTAGCAATTTGTAATATTACTTTCTATAGCCCATGCTTTTTTAAAACAGGTCTTTAAAGAAAGACAGAAGGAAAAAAAAAGAAATCCTTGATTTTACATTTGATTATAAAGCTACATAAATGAATACTGGAAGACTATCATTCTTCCTTTTTAAACCTTTTAAATTTCTAAAATATTTGATACTGCTGAGAAATGACAGTTGGTCAAGCAGCATGGCAATGGAGGAACAGTTGACTAGGCCTCCATGAACACTTACAGTGTCATTAATATTTAAATATTTAATCTTCAACCTTAATTAATAATCATTAAGATCTTTTTATATCTGTCAAAAATCAACAACAGCAGTTTTCTAATGGTACAACTAACATCAGGTTTTTTTTTTTTTATATATATATATATATAGAGAGAGAGAGAGAGACAGAAAGAAAAAGGCAATTAATAAAAATAATGCGTATGGTATAGAATACATATACATATCTACATGTATAAGTATAAAATATAAAAAAGTTTATAGTATTCAAATATTTTAAAATACCTGAGTTCAAAAAATCAAACGATAACTTCAGTTTATAATAATATCTGATTTATAATATTGTACTTTAATTTTATTGTGATGCGAAATTAATTATACAAAATAATTATGCATTTAAACTACTGTAGTTTTTGCACTTCCTGTGTATTTTATTGAAGCAGCTTATTTACCTACCTCTTTTTTCTTAAAAAAAAGTAGTACAATACAAAGTCCTTAATCAAACTCGTCGATTCCGGATTAGGGGTTTTTCCGGATTACAGATCATCAATTTAAATCTGGTAAGATGGCATGCAGAAATGATACAATTAAAAATATGAAATCGTAATTTATGAAATATAGAGCTAAAGGGTATCCAAAATTACTAAAAAAGCTGAATATTTGTTTACTTTATTAAACATTTCTTTCAATGTAAGTTGTTTAAAATGCTTCCACAAAAAATTCAAAAAGTTCCTTTTTCTTGCGTCGTATATAGCGCACTTTCCAATGCTTATAGTTCTTGCATAATCTTGAGACGGATAGGCCTTTATCCATCTTTTGCAGTAATTCCACTTTTTGTTTAATGGACATCAAAACATGCTTTCGCTTTGTAGATCCTTTGGCAGCTCCAGAATTTGAAACGCTTTTTGACATAATCGAAAGTTCAAGCTTAATTTTTATAATATTGTTCTAACAATCTGCAAAAAATAATAAGCCAGATCCAATTAGAAGATTAAGGAACAGTACAATCTGCAACATTAATTGAAATGCCTTAGATAATTTTAGCCTAGCTTATATTGTCCGTTATACATTAAACGCATTATGCGCATGCATAAACGCATGCGTGCATAAAGTTTGTAGCTTTGCGCATAAAGTTTGTAGCACATAAACACATGCGCATAAAATTTGTAGCTTTGAGATCAGGATTATAGATCATTCCGGATTATGGACGTCCTGATTACAGACTTTGTACTGTACTTTAATTTCATAAAATTTCGCATTAATGATGTAAAAGCAGATTTTAATGTGAGTAAAATGGGAGCAGCAGCTTTAAGAGAATTATATTCAAGTAAAAAAAAAAAAAATGAATTAGTACTTGCAATTTATCAGTGTACCATCCATTTCTAACACATCAATTATTTCATAATAATATAGACAGACATTTCATTGTTAGAGGGAGGAAAAAGCTATGTTTATAGACAGTATAAAGCTAAATTATGAGATTTCATAAAAATTGCATAATCTACAACATATCTTTCATATATTGCATGCATATACTAAAAAAAAAAAAAAAAAAAAAAAAAAAAACTCAATACAACAAAGCAAATGCAGTTCTGAAGTAATGTATCTATATTTTTTAAAATAGATATTTACAAACCAGTCAGACTAGACTTTTAAGATGTTTAACAACTCACATAAATATAAAAGTTACAAATCCAGCAATGATTCCAGGATAGTACGGTTTTTCCCACATCATCAAAGCATTCAGATGAGTAAGGATTTCACGCCAATTCTCTAAACGCCGCTTGCAGAGTTTGACTAATTCCTAAGCAGAAAAATTAATCCAAATACATAAATACATTTCAAAGTATGGGAAAACAAAATTAAAATTTTATTACCGAGTATATTTTCATATTTAACAAAAATAATAAAATATATTAATTCCGTCATGCCTGTAATAAAATAAAACAATAACCGCAATCAGAGAAAAAATGCATAACTTCACGTTCCTATCCACAAAGTCAGATGTACAGCAAATAGGTAGTTTTCCGTTTTGCTGGCGCAAATCTTGCCAAGCAGACTTTATTGACGAAAACATACAGTATACAGATAAAAAATATTGGTTCTAAGAATTTTTTATTTCGAAAGCATAAACATTTTAATATTGTTTAAAATTTTGTAAAAAACCAATAAATTTATAAAAAGACATTAATTTAAGAATTTACTATACTTTCACGGTTCAACATCCTTATTCGCCAGTTCATATCAAGTGACCCCATCACGCGTAAACTACGCTACAAATTATATACATTAATTTCAAGTTAAATCTTAATTTGGAATGCAATTTTAAATGCAAGAATTATTTCAATTCGTATCAATAGCTTACTCGGAAATTATGTAAAACCGTAATGCTTTACTTCGCTAGTGCATTCTCATTAGAATTGAAGAATTTAACACTTGACTTTGCCTTTTCTATATTTTTGCCTTCGAGTGAGCGGTGTGATTGCATCTTAATTGACTTAATTACCGCGAAGGACCTTAGGGCATAAAATTGAACTATCTGATAAAAATTATATGTAATTGTATGCCAGTACTGAAAGATACAATCAATCTGAAATGCCTGTGATTTGTTTTGAAAATAATGTGTAAAAGGTTACCAGCGAAGATATTCCGTTTGGCATCAGTTTATCGCCTGTGCCGGCAAAAGGGAAAAGTACCAGCAAATGGAATATTATTTATTCTTGCAAAAATTTTCATGAATTAATATTCAGCCCATAATACTGTAATTTATAATTCTGCTGAAATTACAACTACAGAATATAATTAAAAATGCAATTTACACATGTCAAAGAATTAAAGAAGACTAAAAAGTTAAATTTTATTCGCATCTATCATATTTGGAAACAAATACTACATTTAGGAATGAAAAATTAAATATTTGAATTAAGTAATATTAAATTTTTCATTCCTAAATAATCCTGATAAATAGTATATAACTTTTTAATATTCATTTGATGATATTAAATTATAATTTGCTAGAATTCTGCTTTAAAAAAGTGCTAACCATACACTCTAATATAAGTAAAGATTTTGAATACTTATCTCGCACTCTTTTCCATCTCAAACGTAACTTTTAATGTATTAAACATGATGCAAACATTCAAATAAGATTCACCATGATATCTTGCTAATGACTACGTGAAATACGAAGATAATTTTTATTGCAATCAGTAATTTATATTTTACGTGACTAGACTTGACTAGACTATATTTTACGTGACTAGGAAACTTGAAAAAAAAAAAAAAAAAAAAAACTGAATACTATAATGAAAACTGAATGATTAATTTTATACATCATTAACTTAACAAAATCAATAATTGAATTAATAACAATCATGAAAACTGAATGATTAATTCTAAAAATTAATCATCATATGTTACATTATATATTACTGCCAAAGTTTAAATTTTTATTTTATAATACTATAAATGAAAATTTAAAATCTAAAAATGATTAGGGAAAATTATAATAAATCCTTATAAAAAACCATTCTGTATACAGAAAATTTAAAATATTCCATTAAAACATTTAAAAAATTTCAAATCAGAAATATCAATTCCACAAATACACACATTAAACAGATTTTAAAATCTAATTTTTACATACTACAGATTAGAAAAATAAGATAGTAAATTTCAACTATTATAACAGGAACAGTAAAATAAAAATACTGTCTGTCTACGGTAAGAACAGCTCCCGCCACGCTGTCTGGCGAGTGGCGGTCGCTATAGCAACAGGGCTAGTATATTTCAAATAGGGACGAACCAATGGTTGCTTTATTGTTATTTTGTTTTTGGCGACTGTTGGCTTAAGGGAAGTTTATCATTCGTCTTCTCGGCTTCATTCCAGCTGCACGCATCTTTTCTTAAGCCTTATATTATTATTAGCTATTTTTATTCTCGTTGTTATATCTTTTGTACTAGCATTCTGTTCAAATTTCGCTTCTATTTAGTTTGATTTTCATAATGCTTTGTTAATCGCCAAATTTTTAAAATGCCCTTCCATTTTAAGAAAGGTCAACCTTTAAAGTTCTCAGGTCACGTCAAATTCGTGTATAATGTCGCAGAATTTTGCGCTTCTGAAGCTTCAGTGAACTCTTTAGTAGTTCCTCTTCCTTAAGTTTTGTTGTGTTGGTGTATTTAATTATGGCAAAGTCACTAGGGCTATCTGCCTAAGGGAAGGGATGCCTTCGTGGAGGACTTTCTAAGGGAAACGGGCTCGTACACACGTTACAATGGGGAAAACCACGAAAACACCCATGCAGCCAGCCCATTCGCGGGAATTCGAACCTCGGACCGAACTACCAGTGTTCAGCGACTTCCGCTCGGCCGCTGGTGGGCTACCTTAAGTTTTGAAGAGCGAAGTATCAACAATGGGTGAAAATAAACTTCTGAATACACTTGGAAAAGAAACATAAAAGCCCTGCTAATCATAAGTGTGAAACTGACGATTTTGACAAATGCATTCGTTCTACGGCAGACAATACAAGACTTTTACATCAAAGAAAAGAAAGTGCCATCTGTGCGGAAATTACTGCCTGTCATGAGGCAAAAAATAGACTTCCCGTGGCAAAAAGACTCTTTGTGCAAAGTTTTGTGTTCAATGAATTTTCGTTGGAATGCGTAGAAAAAAAAAAAAAAAAAAAAAAAAAAAAAAATCTTATCGAAAGACCTCACATTGTATTTTGGAGGAACAATTATTTACGAGAAATGAGAAAACTCAGAGCAAGTGAACGCCACATCGTTTACATCGATGAAACATGGATTGACAGCAATTTAACTTTTAAGAAATGTTGGCAACATGATACGGTTTTGGGCGCACAGCCAGTTTCCCTTAGCAAGCCTTCCATGAAGGCATCCCTCCTCTTAGGCATTTTAACCCTGGAGGTTCCGTAATCATATAAACCAACCCAAACCACTGGTAATTAAGGAAAAAGCAGTTTTGATTTTAAATTCACCTTCGCTTCCTTCCGCCATTAAATTAACTAGCTTTTGGTTTAGTTTAAAGGTATGGGAATAGAAGAATGTTCGCAAAAGTATTATTGAGAGCATGGGTATGTAAAAAAAACACTTTTACTTTCAAGATGATTCCATATACATTTAATGATGAAATTTTTAGTCATTATTAAAGCACAAGCAATAAATTAACAGAAATTTTGAAATAAAAACATAGCAGAACGTCATTTAAAGACTGAAGAAATTGCTTTGAATGTTCAGGTAGATCAGCTAGAGGGGAGAACTATAAAAATTAAATTTATTTTATATTTATGAAGTGCGTCTATACTATATTACAGAGAATGGGGCAATCAAGTAGATTTCTAAGATGTCATCTATGATTTTGCAAGCAAACAAATAAACAAAAAAGAAGCAAAATAATAGCATGATTTTTTTAAATGTCAAAATTAAAATTTTTCTTCAAAAATAAACACGGATTTTTAAATTTATTTCCCTACAAGTTTATTTTTACTCATCGTACATCTAGAGGGATGGCAAATTCAGCGACTTGTACCTCACACGGCAAAATCAAAGACCGTTTCTTGACTGCAAAAGCTTTATCTACGCCATCGAATTTTCATTTTCGGAAATTGGATGTCGGGGTCGACGCAAAGGGTCAACAAGCATTTTACTTGAAACGAAAACAAAATGTGAATATCGCCAAATCATCTTTAAATGCGCCAAGGTGGCAAACTCAGAAGTAAGTCTTCAAGACACCCCTACGAAAAATGGGTTAGGGCTCGTTTCTACGGCAACAGGCAGCTGCAGACAAACTGGCGAGAGCTGTTCTTACCATAGACAGACAGTACTTTCCATAAATAAATAAATAACTTTTAACATCTTAAAGAAAAAAGTCAAAGAAAATTGTAATTATGCTTAAGCCCAGCACCAGAACTGTTACAGCAGGCAGCACGATTCACAGATGGCAAAAGATTAAAGCAAATAGGCAGCAAAATTTAGGAATGGGAAAGGTTACATCAGCTAGCAATAAAGACTAACCTGTTTAAAGATATGCATTATAAAAAATAAATCTTCAAATAGAATTTTAAGGATAGTGCTGACAGATCAACTTCCAATTCATTGCGTACCGCGACATCCCCCCCCCCACACACAGGCAGTGGAGTGTAAAATTGATAAACAGATTTTGGAATGGTTAGATAAACAAATCCATTATCCTTTATCCATTTTTTGCAGCAATTCCACTTTTTGTTTAATGGACTTCGAAACATACTTTCGCTTTGTAGATCCTTTATATATTAGTAATATATATCGGAAATTCTATTTGATATAATCAAAAGTTCAAGCTTACTTTTATAAAATTGCTCTAACAGTCTGCAAAAAATAATAAGCCGGATCCAATTCTAAGATTAAGGAACAACGAAATCTGCAACATTAACTGAATTAGATAATTTTAGCTTAGCTTATACCGTATGTTATACATTAAACGCGCATTCGTAAATACATTTTGCGCATGCGCACATGCATATTCGCAGCCGTAAAGGTCTTACGTCGACGCGACGCATGCGCAGAAATTTTGTAGCTTTGAGGTCCGGATTATAGATCATTCCTGATTATGGGTGTCCGAATTAATGACTTTTGACTGTATATTATAGCAGTTTTAGGTCCTAAATTTTAATTTCTAATTTTAAGACATAGAACAATGTGAAAATTTTAAATAAGTAACAAACGAAAAGACAGTGTCGTGCAAACCAAGTAAAATGAAGACATAAATGACATAATGAAGACTAAAAAGAATGTGTCGAAACATTT